TTTTCCTTCGGCTTAGTCCCTTTACTCATTACAAGTCTATTCCAGCATTTGTTTTAAGCAGCAGATGCCCTTTCAGCCGCAACCCAGTACTGGGAAACACCCATACATTACTGACAATTTAGCTTATTAGGTTAAAACAGGGGTGTCCAAACTCAGTCCTGGATGTCTGGGGTGTCCTGCTGAGTTTAGCTCCAACTTGCTTCAACACACCTGCCCGGAGGTAAGAGCTTGATTAGCTGCTCCAGGTGTGTCTGGTTGGAGCTGAACTCTCCGGTGTGGACACCTCTGGGTTAAAATAACATTTTCTCACCCAAAATGTTTTCAGAGTGTAAAAGTAAAAACAGTAAAGTATTTTTCTGTGTAGATAATGTAGACTGTGGTTCATTTTTTGTGGATTTTTTCTAGTTTTTGAGAAGTGCTAATTAGAATAAACTTTTATTTTTGCATTTTCATCCATTATGTTGATACTAAAGGAGTTTCTCTGTCGGAAATCAGCTGAACTGTTCATTTATTTACTATGATCAGTCAATGCAGATGTGTGCATTAAAGTCAGCGTTAAGGAAAGATACTATTAAAAGAAGTTTATTACAGTTTTAAGCTTATTTTAATATTTTAAATAAGCAAAAAAAACACATAACAAGCATACTTTAACATTATTTTCCATACGTTTTTTTTTAAAGTCACTTTAAAAGTGTTTTCTAATATAATAGAAGTGACATGATCCAAATACACGCCAAACCCGTTTTGGTTGGGTTTAGGGGTGGGGGTGGATTAGGGCTGTGTTTCAATCTATAAAAAGTAGATTTAGTTACTGCCGATATTGACACTGACTGCTATATTATTTCTACTTTGACAGTTCGGAACCAAAGGATGTCAGACCTGTATAAGCCATGCACTCCCAGCCTTTCTGGGCTTCAGGTTCGCACACCACCCTGAGTCCCTCCCCACAATTTACAAGGGACAGTACGCAGAGGTGGCTAAAGAGAAAGTTAGGGTTTAGGTTTATCCAGATTAACCTGCCATTTCATTCTCCCCTTTCCATAGAATCGGGCTAGATCTGAACTTATTAAAAGCACAAAGAAAAAAAAAAACTACAGAAACCTTAGTGGTTAGGGTGTATGAGGTGGGTCAGGACTATATTCCAGTCTAGAAAGTAGATAGAGGATGGGTAATACGCTGGGTATATAAAACGCTGGGTAATAAAGACGACCCAAGAAACATTTCTCAGTGGATATGGGTCAGATATTTTGGTGCATTTGAAAAAAATAGATTTATTAAACAGATATATTTACTAAAATAGTATTTTAGTCGCCGAACATCTTTTGAAGTAGAAAGATAATACAATTAAATTCAAGCAAAATATCGGAAGAATTACAAAGTTTCAACAGAATTTTTTGTTTCACTTAAATTTTGCTCTTCAAAAAGGAAAACGTATTTAATATTTGTCTATAACATATAAATGTTGCTGCACTCATTGTGGAGCGTTCTCGTTAGTTACTGTGTTAGATGAGCTCTGGATTTGGCTTCAGAACTGACTAATCCAGAGATGCCCACAGTAGAGCATCCTACTTTCGATTTGGCCCAACATCCCGTCTGAGAGGAGAGTGAGAGTGATGGAGATGGTTGGGGTGAATAACTTTAACAGAGAGATCGTCACTTCTAATTTGACGTTACCTTTTTGTTTGTTTTGCAGCTTTATTGCAAACTCAAATGAAATATTTTAACTAAATGTTGTAAACGAATCAGATTGTTTCAAATGCAACTCAGCGAATAGACTATGCAGAAGACATCGGCAAGCAAATCAAGGCCCAAACAAGTGTAATTCTGTTATAAATGAGATTGCTTTACTGTAATAAGATCATTATAAAATGACCCAGTTAATATAAAGCAATGTTTTCTTGTCGTTTTTATTATTATCAAACAAATAAATTAAAAATATTAAATGAAATTACCAATATTTACCTTCGGCCCACTAGCCTCAATCAAGTTTGGTTTTTGGCGCTTCATAAGAAAAAGTTTGTGCACCCCTGGCCTGCTCTAATGTACATGCACTGATCTAATATTGTAAGGCTTCCTATTGAAACATGAATATATAGAGATTTGAGAGTTGTGCACTTATATATGCTGAGCACTGTATTACTCTTGATAGTAACGTTACCCAGCACTGATCAACATGCAATCATTAACCCCGGACCACACACATGTCTATTTCTCTCCCCCCGTGGGCAGATTATTCAGCTTATTTTAAGGAGAAACTCTCTTCAGTTTGACTCCTTATTTCTGAAAACAAGACTTTGTTTATTGCTTGTCTAGAAAATGCTGACTGATTTAAGAATATGTGGACATTTGGATGAGAAACAAAACAGAAACTCTAAATAAAAACAGCATTTTTTGCATTAACCTAATGTTTGATCAGTAATATGCATTGCCGAGAGCTTAAAATGCACCACTTTAAAGATAATTTCCTCAATATTTACATGTTTTGCACCCTCATATATTTAAATAGTTGTCAAATATTGTCCAGACAATCCATACATCAATACAAAAGATTTCTCAATATCAAATCATGAACCCTGACGCTCTTGTGTTCCAGACTTTGCTCTTTTAGCGTAACTAAAATCTGTAATGCAGCCTTCATGAACAGGACACACTCCTGTCAGAAGCAGCTCATATTCACTGTCCACATATCAGATATTAAGTGCTTTACTTAAGGCCATTTCTCTGGGACTCCCTCATTAGTGCAGTTCTAGAGCCTGTAGGGTGCGTCTGTTAGTGTGCTCTAGCTAGTGCATTAGACTGAAACGTGTGGAGAACAACAACAACAACACAATACAACAGATGCAGAGAGCGCTCCACCGTCTCCAGCGGCTCCATCATCACAAAGCCAGCGAGTGCAAATGCAAAGAAGTCCAGATGTTGTAGCATCTCACAGACTGACTCCAGATCAGCTGATTCAGCAGACCGACTGACTCCAGATCAGCAGATTCTGCACAC